CACGAGCGTCAGTGAGCTCTTGCACACGCTTCCACACATGATCTCTGGACAAGCACGGCCGTGTGTTTAATCCGGTTGACAACGGGTTGATGTTGCAGTCCCATCTCACGCACCGGGAGAGCGAGTTTGTGAGACGCAGAAGACTGGGTCTTACTCGTGTTGGGAGCCTCAATACCCGAGGGCCCAACAGTGGTTAAGTGGACGGGCGGGGCCTTGCGGATGGCCACGTGCCCAAGGTCACGCGGATGGTCGGGGCTGCAGTAGTGCCTTTGGGTCCACATCCGCTGCTGTTTCTGACAGCCACGTGCTGATCGGCTACTCAACCGCGGCAAAGTAATAATCACAGACCTCACCCGGGTCACTCACTATCTCCCGGGGGATACACAGGTGTATTTGAAAGACACTACTTGTTTGTGAGGCTCAGTGTGTGTGTGTGTGTGTGTGTGTCTGTTTTTTTGGTTTGACTTCAGGCAGGTGCTACCACGCCGGGCTAAGTTATGGGAGTTTTTTTTTTGTAGAGAAGAGGTGTCACTGTGTTGCCCAGACTGGTCTCAAACTCATAGACAAAGGCGACCCTCCTACCTCCACCTTCCAAAGTGCTGGGATTATAGGTATGAGCCACCATACAGGGCCTGAGAGAAATTTTAAATTCTAGAATATTTAATACCTGGTACAGAAGAGGGAGTCTGATACAGAGGAAGCCACAAGAGGGTGTCATGCGACCGTCTTTAGTTACTGATTTGCTCATGCTCAGCCTTGTGTCAAACAAAATCTGTATTTTTAGGATGAATTTTTATTCCAGATATTCTGTAATGAAGGTCATCGTATACACTCTCTCCTACCCCCAAGCGCATTACTTAAAAAACAAAACAAAACAAACAAAACAAAACAAACAAACCCTGGCTCCACAGGGTGGATTTTGGGATTCCCCAAATCCCAGCATTTTGGGAAGCCTTGGTGAGAGGATTGCCTGAGCCAATGGGTTTGAGACCAGCCTGGGCAACTTGGCGAAACCTCATCTCTGCAAAAAATAAAAAAAATTAGCCAGGCGTGGTGGCATGTACCTGCAGTTCCAGCTACTTGGAAGGATGAGGCGGAAGGATCACCTGAGCCCAGCAGGTTAAGGCTGCGGTGGCCGTGAGCGTGTCACTGTAACACCAGTCTGGGCAACAGAGTAAGACTTCAACTCAAAAAAACCAAAAAAACCCAAACAAACCCCAAACACACACAAAATCTCACACTGTTTGCACTTAGAAGACCCTGACATTGTTTAAATGTTGTTAAACATCTAAATCATAATTTAATGCAACTTAAAATTCTTTGATTAGTTGGAGTGTTCACCAGCTTCTTTTTTTGAGTCTCTCTTTTCCTCTTCTTTCCCTTGAAGAGAGGATGGCAATGGGATAAAACCCTGAAATCTCAAAAGTACTAAGGTGTAGAGTTGGTTAAATCCTTCTATAAATTTAGTATGACATGCTTGTAGGATAGTTTAATTTTTTCCTGGCTAGAAAAGGGATACATGTTTATTAAACAATGGAGACAATGGAAAAGTATACAAAGCAAAAGAAAAATTTACCATAATCCCACAACTTTGATCAATGGCAACATTTTGCTCTATAGCTTTGTTAGTTTTATGCCTATATAGACATACGTCTTTTTGGGGGTGCAAAATTAGAATATTATTTTTGTTGTTTTGTAACATATTTTTTCCCCAATTAGTACAGCATGAACATTTTTTATGCTATTACAATGTTAGGCCAGCCAGGCACGGTGGCTCACACCTATAATCTCAGCACTTTGGGAGAATAAGGTGAGGAGATTGCCTGAGCCCATGGGTTTGAGACCAGTCTGGGCAACTTGGCGAGAGATCATCTCTACAATAAATCAAGAAAAATTAGCCAGGCGTGATGGTGCATGCCTGTGGTTCCAGCTCCTTGGAAGGCTGGGGCGGAAGGATTGCCTGAGCCCAGCAGGTCGAGGCTGCGGTGGCTGTGAGCATGCCACTGCACTCCAGCCTGGGAGATAGAGTGAGACTCCACCTCAAAAAAAAAAAAAAAAGAAAGTTAAACTGGGTGTGGTGGCTTATGCCTGTATTCCCAGCATTTTGGGAGGCAAAGGGGGGTGGATTGCTTGAGCCCAGGAGTTCAAGACCAGCTTCGGAAACATAGTGAGACCTTGTCTCTACAAAAAGTCAAACAATTAGTCGGGTATGGTGACCTGTGCCTGTGGTCCCAACTACTTCAGTGGCTAAGGCAGAAGGATTGCAAGAGCCCAGAAGGTCAAGGCTACAGTGAGCTGTAATCATGCCACTGTGATAGAGACCATTGCTCAAAAAAAAAAAAAAGATTAATAGCATCTTAGAACCACTATAAGTGGCCATACAGTTAAACAATGAACATTTGTTTCCATTTATTAAAATGCTTTGCCAATTTAACAGATAAGTTATAATATTTTATTTTAACTTGCATTATATGTATTTTAAATGTGGAATAGAATATTTTCTGAGGTGCCTATTGGTCATATGTTTTTGTTTTTTTCTTGAGTCAGAGTCTCTGTTATCTAGGCTAGAGTCCAGAAGCACAGTACACCTCACTGCAGTCTCAACCTCTTAGGCTCAAGTGACCCTCTTGCCTCAGCCTCCTGAGTAGCTGAGACTACAGGTGCATGCCGTCATGCCCGGGTAATTTTAACAATTTTTGTGGAGACAGGGTTTTGCTATGTTAACCAGACTGGTCTTGACCTCCTGGCCTCAAGTAGTCCTCCAGACCTGGCCTTTCAAAGTGCTGGAATTACAGGTGAAAGCCACCATGCCTGACCCATTTGTGTTTCTTTCTTTCTTTTTTCTTTTTTTTTGAGTTGGAGTCTCACTCTGTCACCCAGGTTGGAGTACAGTGACACACTCAGGGCCACTGCATCCTTGACCTGTTCGGCTCAGGTGATCCTTCCACCTCAGCCTTCCAAGTACCTGGAACTACAGGCACGCACACCATGCCCTGCTAATTTTTTTATTTATTGTAGATGAGGTCTTGTCAAGTTGCCCAGGCTGGTCTCAAACTTGTGGGTTCAGGCAATCCTCTCACCTCTCAAAGTGCTGGGATTATAGGTGTGAGCCACCGCGCCCAGCCCCTTTTGTATTTCTTTTGTGAATTTTCAACTTATGTCCTTTGTCTATTTTTTATAGGCAGTTCACCTATTTTTAAACTCTTTAACCTCTTACCTGTGACATCTGTTGCATATATTTCTTTTTAGTTTGTTGTTTGCTTTTTGTTAGTGATACAAACGTTTTAAATTGTTATGAAATCAAGTCTATTAATTTTTTTCCTTTACAGATTCTGTTACTGGCCTTATGCTAAGATAATCTTTTCTTCTACCCAAGATCTGGTTGCATGTTTTGTTCTGACTCTTTAGCTTAT